CTTACTTCAGATACTTGAGTATCTATTACCTTAGCTAGAAAAGCTATGCATCCTTTTTACATCATCTTAATTGTAACCATTGCTGATATCACTTATTGATGATTTTACTTTTTCATCAATCATTAAATTTTTTTATTTCTCTACATTTTTCTAAATTAATCGCTTCTTGCAACCATTTACCTAACCATAATGCAGAGACAACCAACTTATGATCAAAATGATCTAAAAGTTGTTAATGATAATCCCATCAGATTCATCAATAACATAAGCTTCCGAATCTTTATCGGACATTTACTATTTGTCCTTCTAACCCTTGTATCATGACTGTGACCATGACCATGACCCATAGGTCTTCCACAATAATATCACTCGATATCAAGTAGAATTGAATATCTCTACTTTGGAATTCCTTATTTCTTCTTAAGGAAACTTGTATAACCTATCCAGATCCATAGAAATTATTCTCGAACAGTTGAAACATTTTCAATTTCTTGAGAATCAATCTCGATCCATACAATAATTCTTTGCAGCATGGAATGTTAGACAATCCGTTTTCGCATATTTACCTTCACAAGGTAACTCTATCCAGTTTTAATGGACTTGATATATATTCTCGATCCAACTCATAATCATTTGATTCACTAATAACTCAGCTTTCTTTAAACTTTTACCGGACAACTTATTACGGCTTATTCATTTCTTCTTACTCAAATTATCAATGATTTAAACAATTTAATGCTTAGCTTAAATATTTCTCACTTATTTAAGCTTACCTGAAGAACCTCAAAATCATTCACTAGATTCAGATATCTCCTCTGGATCCTCATCCGATTCGACTTTTTCTTGTAAGTCATTCAAACTTTTTAATCAATTCTTCCAATTCATAAACTTTGATAAACAGTGTGACAATTCTTCCACAAAATGAAGAAAAATTTCTTATAACATCCACCCTTCTAAGGTGTTTTACATAAATCATGTCGGGTCCCTTTTTGATCGATTTCAATCTCGACTTTCTTTTCAACATTTCGACTTTATTACCTTTGTCTTTAATTTCAACATCTGAACATAGTCAGAATCATCATACATTAGTATAGAGTAACTTTTACTCCCTATAAACATCATCACAGTATATATACAAATATCAGTAACTCTTGACATCCTAGTGGCATGTATACACTTTTTAACTCAAAATAACCTCGGTTTAGTCCTAGAATCGGCTAAACCTGTAGCTCTGATGCCAATAAATGTAACACTCGTAACCCATATATTTATACCTATACAGATTACAGATGTCACCCGTATTTTCTAAAACCATTTCAAAATTCAAAAGCGATTTAAAATTTATTTTCTTAAAATAGTAAATGATATTATAAAAATATCATATCATATAAAATTACGTTTCATTATAATAATTTAATTCAAAATATTTTTAATTATGAATAGTAAATAGTACCTGAATAGTGAACAGTGAACAGTGGGGAAATCGATTCCCTGTAGCAGGGGAATCGGTACCCCTTTTATAATCTGGAAAATTTGGTTTAAAACGGGGTTATTGTTCATGCTACAGTAACTTTCAAAAATTTCATATATAAATCTCATAAAAATTAACCTTTCATCACTATAACAATTTCCAAAATTTATTCAACAAAATAAATTTAACATTATCAAATTACATGCCACTGTCTAAATCAAAATCCATCGTATGATGTCTTACTGATATTGAAATATACCTCTCGATGCTCGATGTCATTCTAAACTCCTTATTTTTATTCTTTGCTTTTTACCTACGCGTGAAAATCATCACACGCTAAGTATAAACTTAGTGAGGCAATTAAAACAATATATAGTGCAATACAATTCATGCATGAATTTAGATTTCAATCCAATGCCATAAAACCATGCTAATAGCATCTTCAATATTTTACCATGATCAAATAATATAAAATTTCTTACCTTTCATCCATAAGCTCATAAGCTTATTTTTACCAAAATACTTACCATTTAAATTCCATAAGCTCATAAGCTTATTATTATTATTTTCAATATACTTGCCATTATTCCGTTAGCTCATAAGCTTATTTGCATGGTTACCATTTATTAACCAATAAAACATAATCCATAGCCAATAAACCGTAGACAATAGCCCAATATAACACCCTGAGGACCCTGGGTATACGAGTAAAATACATGCACCGTAGTGCTAAACCTGCACTAAGCTTACGCCATAGTGCTAAGCCGGACAATACACATAAGGTCGTGCCCAACACCTACACTAAGCTTAAGCTATAGTGCTAATCTGGATATAAACCTGCACTTAGTGTCTTTACACACTATAGTGCTAATATAAACATGCAGCTGCTATACTCTATGGCATGCCAACTATACCCTATCCCTCAATGACTTACTTGGGCATATAGTCTATTTTATTCAATTCATTCATGGCAAAGTATATTATCAATATTTAACATTGGGCAGTTCATACCCGAAAACATTCATGGTAAAATATCACATTTTTCATAATCAATGCATTTTGATTTCATACTCTGACATATCAATGTCAATTTATAAAAATGATATAAAATCATGTCGATATAAACAAGGTCGACTTATCGCAAGTCTTCCTTATGATGTATAAGACATCCATGTATAATTTCATGCATGTATTGCACTCACCTTGACACTTTATGTCTTTCAAAAATATATAAGCCTCACTATTGTCCACCATAAGCCCTTTTATATTTGATTTGCTTCGATTACAAATCAACCATGATCTGTATAAATCACAAATTTATAATAATACATATGTTAGATTTGTACTAACATAACTATATCCCAAAATAATTCCATAGCATACTTCAAACTCATTTCCACCAAATAATTCAGTACTTATTAATTTCTTTAACATTGGAACCCACTTTTCCAATTTACTCAAAATGGTCTTTCACCATTTTATCACTTAGATTCTTAAAACCAAAAATTCCAACATTGAAATTATTTCCATTCAAATGCTTTTACAAAAGCATAAATACATTTAAGTACCCCAACTATGCAATTGTTGTACTTAAATCACCAATCATTTCGATCTTCCCAAAATAATCAATTTCACATCTAACACTCATTTCAATTCTCAAACAACAATTTCCAGCATTCAGACAACTCGTACTACCCCTAAAGAATCATCATTCTATATTGATATAAACAGTTTAATTCAATTAAGTTTCTTCCTTTAAAAACTAGACGCAAATACGAATCTATCCATATAAAGAAATCCTTCTAATTCATTTTGTACAATTTATGGCGAATTTTCAAAGTTGACCAACAGAATCTGTTTTGTACAGAATTCTGCTGTCCGATTTTTCTGACCTTTCCTCAGTTAAAAATTCATATCTATTTGTATACAACTTGAAATTGATCCCCGTTTATTTTAAACTAAAATAGATCCATATATGAACACAGTATATAAAAATAACCTCCAAATTATTTTTATATATTTTCTGGTGAATTTTCGAACCTACTGTAATTCCCAAAATCTACACTGTTTTTCTTTAACCTCATCCTTATGTTCTTCATCAATTCTTACAACCTCAAAATCATCAATAATCATCATCAAGTTAACAATCATAGTATAAACCCAAATTTCCAGATTTTGGGATATTTGAATCAAGCAAGATTATCATGCAATATTGATATCAAATGATAGCGTTTTTCGCAAATAACAATTTTCTATTTTCATCATACTCATAATCCTAAAGAAATTACTTGAAAAATTAGTTGAAGATTTCTCACCCTTTGAAGAAGCCCACGTCTGGTTTGAAGAAGAAGAAAGCAAATTTAGATGAAATTTAGGAAACATTTCATCTTAATTAACATAATATCTCACTTTAAATGAATATAAAATTCATTTAATTGGGATAAGACCAAATCACCCTTAATGAATCTCCAAAATCACCATAAAACCAAGCCATATGATATTACAAAGTCAAATATAATTTAATTTGACTTTGACCTACGAAAATGCCCTGAAATTTTCAAAACTTACGTTTTAGTCGCTAAATTCCACAATTTCGCTTTAATCTGAAAAATTGCACAATTCCAAACCAAATTTCTCTGATCCAAAATATTACAATAATATTTCCAATCATTTTATAACATCCTTCAAATTTTTGAAAAATTCCGATTCGATCAGAATTTACTGATTTCTTACCGGCTTTAACTCTTTCTTTACTAAATTCCAAATCCAACAATATGATTTCCATAAAACTCCAATCTCAAGAGTAAACCATATATATTTATGGAATAAAAATCTTTTTAGGAAATTTATCACTTAATTTTCTAAACTTTTCCCAAGTTTTAACTTTGACCATCAAACTTTCAAAATTTACATTTTGGTCATTATCTAAATTTTTGGGGTATTACAGGAAAGAAAGAAAAAAATACAACTTTGGTGACGATGAACACAAAAAATCATCTTTCCTTAAGTTTTTTTTTTTGCGATAACGGTTTGAATAACAGTGATTGTGTCCCGTTATCGGCTCAATTGTCTGTTTCCTTTTAAATTGCAAGTGCAATCGACCGCAATCGGTGTGAATCCATGACCCACCGCAAAAACCATGAATAGAGGTTTCGGACGGTGGCGCGGCCGCTATAGCGTTTTCGGAACGCTATTTGATACCCTGGTCCATAGTTGTTTATTCTCCTTCTTCGTCTTCTTCTTCTGCTCATGGAAAACATATACTTTCCGGCAACAATGGAAGCCTTGTGAGTCCCATGATCGTCGAAATCTCACGGGGAACAAAACTCTGACGTCTCGATCATTTTCTCGCTAGTCTCTTTGTACCCATTGCAGAAAAACCTCGCTCCTTCCTTTTGTTTATCGTTTCCACATTTCAACACTGTGATGGTGTGACATGGACAAAAAAAATGGTGAATAGTTGCAAGAAAAATCAATTCCGCAAGGTGTTCGATGATTTTACCGAAATGGGAAGGGAAAGTACAAAAAGCAGTTTTACGCTGTCAAGTGTACTAAAAGCATGTGCTGGGATGGATGATGAAGGGATGTGTGGATGATAGGTTCACGCCATTGTTATCAAGCTTGTGTTGAAATTCAAAGGTTTCGTTCAATGCGGGCTGATTGACATGTATGGGAAATGCAGGTTGGTGTTGAGATTTTGAGAAGGCATTTGAGGTTGCCGGTGATTAAAGAAACAAACAATCAAAAGGCATCTTCCTTCTAAATGTGTGGATTGATTTCAGGAACTGATTCAAAACCATGGGATTTCCTGGAGAACGAAAAACATAGAATGTGTTTCATGAATTCATCAAGAAAATGGCAAAATCGAAAAGAATCTCTCTGGGTATTGATAGCAAATTCATGGGATTTGGGAATGCAGGGAGAAAGGGTGCAAACTTCTCACGGATCTAAGGGAGAAAGGGTAGTCAATTTAAGGGGCTTTGGCATTGATGGTGGTAAATGTGTGAGTGTGAGTTAATTTTTGGCTTTTGTATTTAAATTTTTGGGGTTTATAGTAGATGTTTTGGGGTTATGAGGGCAATGTCTTGTTGGCTGCTGTGGGTTTTTGACATAGGAGGAACAAGAAGAAATAATGGACGAGGGAGAATAAGTGAGATAAAAGGAAGAAGAAGTAGGACTTTTTTATTATTTTAAAATTGCCACGTCACTTACAACTAATGAATGTGGATTTTTTATTATTTTCAAATTGCCACGTAATACTTTTGTTTGTGGGTTAACGGATGTTAACAGCTGAGGGACTTGAACCGCACGGACCGATAACGTAAGGGACCAAGTGTACTTAATTAAAAAATCGGTGATCAAAGTCGGTTAGATCGAAAACAAAGGGGACTATTGGCATAGTTTACCTTAAAGAAAAACTTGTTTGCCTTGGAAGAATTAGAAGAAGGTTAGTTTAATTTTAATTGTTTTATTTGTTGTTTATTTAATATTTAAACATAAATGTATGCTTTAACTTTATTTTATTTTATTTTATTTCATATGTTATATGCATGAAGATTCTAACTTTGGACAATCAGAAATTATAATTGATGAAATACTTAATAGTTTGAATGATTACTAAAGTTTGGAATTTGAAACTTTAAAGTACTTACTTACTTACTATTTGTTTTATTGTGTTGTTGATTATTAGGCCATTAAGGCTCTTTTAGGTTTGAAATGTTTATTTTGAATACCTCTTGTTAAGACTCTTTATTGTGTTGTTGGTTTTATTGTGTTGTTAATACTTTGGACAATTATTAATGTTTATTTGTAATATTCATTTATAAGAATTAGGATATTTTATTGCGTTGGTTTTATTGGATTGTTTAATTATTTAATTATTTATTTTGAAATTGTTAAATGTTTTAATTTCATAAAAAGATATTTGAGACCCCTATACTTTTGAAAAAAATAATGTAGTCATCGAATTATTGTTTCATCCAATATGACCCTCCAACTCATAAAATAAATTCAATGCGACTCTTTAACCAACGTTTTGTTAATATGACAATTTATAGTGTTGATATGGAGATTCACGATGCTGATGTGACGGTCCATAATGGTTGACATGGAAGATGGGCAAAATTAGTTTGTTGGTCATGTTCAAGAGCCAAATTGGTTTTCTACAAATTTTATGGACTTATTTAATTAAAAATAAATAAAATTTATCTTACATTCAAAATTTAAAATATAAAATTATTCAAGTATTCAAAAATTTTGTAAGTCTAAACTAATCAAGTTAAAGTACTTTGTATAAATGTTGTTGATATTATTATATATTACATGTGTATATTATGTACAATATATGTTTTTAAAATATTTTTTAATTTTTAATAATTTATTATTTATTATTTTATAGTTTATGATATATATTTAATTTTTTAATTTTTAATAGAATTTTTAGTATTTTTAAAATAATAAATTTTGAGTAATTTAATTTTTATTTTTAGTATTTTTATATTTAATTTTTTGAATATTTGAATATTTTATATTTTAAATTTTAACTTTAAGATACTTTTTATTCTTTTAAAAAATTAAATATAAGCCTATGATCTTTATTAAAAAACAATTTCGCCCTCGAACAAGATAAAAAAATAATTTAACACATCTGTTATGTTATTTGTCATGTCATCAGTTATAGTGGACCACCATGTTAGCATCGTGAATTACTACATCAACACTGTAACGGTTAACGATGAAAATCGTTAGTCAAAATGTTACATTGAATTTATTTTTTAAGTTTGAGGGTTATATTGGATAAAAAATGATTCGAGGAACACGTTGATTTTTTTTCAAACGTACATATATTTCACATGCCTTTTTACCTTTTAGTTTTATATTAGAACGAATATTGCAGGAAGAATTTGATTTGAATGATGTTTTTCACTATAGCAAAACTGATATGTAGCGGCGTTTTGAGAGAAAACGCCACAAAAGTTAAACATATAGCAGCGTTTACAATCGTAGCGCCACAAATTGATACTTTAGCGACGTTTGTTGTAAAAACGCTGCAATAGATTTGACATTTAGCGGCGTTTTTACAAAAAATGTCGTAATAGGGTGGTTTATTGCGGCGTTTGTTAAAAAATGCCGCAATAGAGTGGTAAATTAGCGGCGTTTATACCACAAACGCCGCAATAGTTTAACATATAGTGGCGTTTTAGCTAAAACGCCACAATAGATTGGTAAATTAGCGGCGTTTATACCACAAACACCGCAATAGATTACACATATAGTGGCATTTATTCTTAAAACGCCGCAATAGTGATAATAAATAGTGGCATTTTTAAATAAACGCCGCAATAGTGTTAATCAATAGTGGCGTTTTTAGAAAAACGCCGCAATAGTTTTAATCAATAGTGGCGTTTTTTAACAAACGCCACAATAGTGTAATCAATAGTGGCATTTTTTTGTATAAACGCCGCAAAATGTTAAATAATTAGTCCTCTTTTTCTCCTACTCGAACCCTAAAATCAATTAAACTCTTCTTCCCTCAAAGCTTCTTCTTTGGAACAACAATAGCTCTCAAACGATTCCTACCGACGTCGTCGTTTGTATGTCCCGGCGACCAAATCGAGCCTCTCACTGACGAACTATAACATAACTGCACGGTTTAATCCCTCCTATCATTAATGATCTTTTTCATTTTTTTGGTCTTCTGAAAATGGGGAAAACCCAAAAAGCTAACGTATTTGAGAAAAAGAGAGCAGGTGTTGCCTTGAGTAAGAGAAATTATTGTCGATGGAATGTCTAAGTGGTGTATTTGCTCTGATGATGGATCAAATTATCGTTGGGAGGATATCGGTCCGGTCTCGTCGTCGAAACTGGATGATGACCCGAAAGGAACTCGTATTGCTCTATACCCTTCCATGGTCGATCTCCTTCTTGAAGGTAATAATCTATGCACCTTTCAGCCGCTATAATTTTTTTTTCTACGCTCAATCAAATTTCATAGATTTTATGCATATAGGATCTTCGAAGCTTATTAAGAATGATGATAGAGGAGTGGATAAATACCCGATGTTTAGAACTGAAATTTGGTAACTCTGTGGCGTTGAAAGAATCTTCAATTGCAAAAGCAGTATCTATCCTCAATGAAGATGAAGTTGCCTCTACTGTTACTCCAAGTAAACATTTATATCATCTATTTAAATTTATTTTAATTTTTATTTAGTTCGTAAGCCACCTACAATCAAGTTTCATACTGTAGGTGAAAGGTCGTTATCTGTTTCAAGTGAAGCACCTAAGCGCGCAAGGACTCTTCTTGGTGAACTGGAGGTAGGAGATTTATTTGGTGAAATGGATGAAGAGTTTCTCCATATAGAGTTTACACGGAGGAAAAACTTAACGATACGTCGTCAAACAAGGAAAACAGCTTTCCTACGTCATTTCCCCACGAATGAGCACAACTAAATTCTACTGAACAATATGGTGAAGACTGTGTATGCATAACTTTAATGTTTCTAACTTGTAATGTATTTTGTTGCTAAGTATTTTTATGCATAACTTATGTCTTAATTAAAATGTATGGTTGTTGTTAATATGTAAAATCAACTAATGTTTCTCCATATAATGTTTATACATATATAAGTCAATTTAGTTGATGTACATTAAAAATGAAATATGTAAAATCAACTAATATTATCTAAATAAAAGGTAATTAGCGGCGTTTGTATCCAGAAATGCCGCTATAGGTACATACTTTAGTGGCTTTTTTATACAAACGCCGCTATAGAATCATACGTTAGTGGCCTTTTTATACAAACGTCGTTATATACTAGTACTTTAGTGGCGTTTCTATACAAACGCCGCTATATACTCATACTTTAGTGGCGTTTTGAATCTAAACGCTGCTATAAACTCGTACTTTAGTGGCGTTTTGAATGAAAACGCCGCTAAATACTCGTACTTTAGCAGCGTTTTTATATAAACGCCGCTATAGACTAGTACTTTAGTGGCGTTTTTATACAAACGCTGCTATAGACTCGTACCCTTAGTGGCACTTTTAGATAAACGCCGCAATAGATATAATATTTTATGGCTTTTTTTAAGATAAACACCGCAATAGATATAATATTTTGCGGCGTTAAAAACGCCGCTATAAGCTAGGGCAGTAACGACTCAGTAGAATTGTCAATTAGCGGCGTTTGGTTTACAAACGCCGCAAAGTATTATAAAAACCCCAAAATCAAATTTCTTGCCCGAGCCCTAATTTCTTTCTCACCATCGTTCAGCCAAGCGTTCTGGATCCCCTTTCAGTGTCATTTCAGCAACTCCGCCTTGCCCTCCATCATCGGTTCATTTTCTTTCTTCCGTAGCCACAAGCAGCCAGAGCCACCCAAACCAACGCCATTACATTTAAGCCAGGTACTCTCTAAATCTCTTCTTTGCATTGAAATAAAAATGGGTATTGATTTACCATCTTATGTTTAGGATTTCTCAAGCTTTTATGTAATGAAATTTTGAGTTTATGATCCCCATTTATTATTTTGAATGTATGTTTGAGTAAAAACATTTTGACCGATTGTTTCTAGAGATAAATGAATGGACAACCGATTGTTTGAGCGATTTTAATTTGTTTCATGATGTCGTTTGGTAGTCAGGAAAGAAATATGTCCAGTTTGAGGGTCGATGCTAGGAAATTAGAATTGATTGGACTGTGTTGCATTTAAAATTTTATTTTTCTTAAGTATAACACTATTTAAATATTATTATTATTTGAAACATTCATCGATTCCACGAAACAACTCGATGTAAGCCGAGCCAACCACGTATAACAGTGCAGTCATTATCGGTCTCCTTTCGAGTTTGGTCACCACATCTTCTGCAGTTAGGTCCTTCACTTGAGAAGTAGTCAGAGAATGTAATCGTTGTCACATATTTGTTTTGTGTACTATATTGGTATACCTTGGTTTTCCTCCAAACTTTAGCGTTTAGGTATTCATTTACAGGGCTAACATAAGAAAATTGTGTTGTTTCATCATGTTGTTTCCCACGTTCAGAACTTGAAGATTAGTGCGAAGCACTTTTTGTGTTGCGTTTGAAAATTGTGATTAGATCCATCAAGATACACAAGCTCGAGAGCACTCATATTAGCTAAGCAATTTGGAATTGGACTGCTTAAATTGTTATGTGATGCATCAGAAACGTAAAGCTGACTCAAATTGTAAATAGGTGTAGGTGAAGAGGCTTTAGAAGAAGTTAAACTCTGGTTGGGTAAAAGTTGATCATTTATCCTCTAATATGATATGTTAGCTTTGTTGTAGCAAGTATGATAAATAATAGTGATATTTAATTTTCATTTCAACATAGTTCAAATTTTAAATGAGTTAACTAAGAGTTAGGGAAAGATCAATAACGGTTTTGTAGGTTTGTAAATTCGATTGAGAAAGTATTAATAGGAAAATAATTTATAGGATTGGATCAAGGATTTGAATATTATTGCACTAGAATTCAAACATTATTTATATGTTTCTTCATAGTTTTCTTCAATTTAGTATTTTAAGAACAAATATAGATTGTCTTGTTTATAGCTGTTGCATTTGAATATACTTCATGGTAGGGATTGTATATAATCTTAAGACAACATTTAGCTGTTTTGATTTGATATTTAAGATAACAACAAACAATAGCCTGAATTACGACTAGAAATGGTCCCTGAAATATTCTTATTATGTTTGTGTTTATGGTAATGGCACAGAATAATAATCCTAAAATTTCTATTTGTGATTTACTCGATTACTTGAGCTTACTTGAACCTTAATTTACATTCAACTAACACCTTAGTTGACATAGTATTTCCCATTAGTTTACATATACAAGGGTATGGGCAAAAATATTAATACTGCATTAATACAACAAGAGAGCAACCTTTTAATAGTCCAACACAGTTTAGTTTACAATAGTCTGTGTAAAAATCATAAAACTGCAACCACCATGTTTTTCTAATAAATCTCACTTCTAATAGTTGTACTTTATAGATCATATACCTCATACTAGGGTTGAAAATGATGAATTTTTTAAATCTAATACCAATAGATAAGTGCACCCACAACAACTAGAATCACAATTATTTATTGTGACACTCAAATTTTATTTCTTGTTTACCATAAGAAACTTCCATTGCTCTTACTCACCTTCCGATGAGGAAAAATAATAAGGTTTAGCATTTTGTTTACCAAACAAAATTGTTGCTAAGTGTGTTGAAGGATTCTAGTATGCAAGGAATTCTGTATTTTTTTATATATGTATTTTGTTCTCCGTATTTCTTATTTTTCCCAATATTCTGCATCGAATAAGTTGAGTAACCTAAAAGCTTTTTTGCAGATAACGGGTGGACTTCCCCTTATCAAGCTCATACTTATTCAGTGGTTCAAAGTCGATAAAGTCATAGATAAAAGTGCATTGCATCCAAAGTCTGAAGTTCAGGTATTGTTATGCATCCAAAGTTAACATGAAGTTCACTTTTTAGCTTACTGATTTCATCAAAGTAATCTCTTGTTATGATAATGTCACCAACATAAATGGTAAGGATAACATTGTTACCTTTTTGATGAAACCTTCTAGAACAATGTGTGATCTAATAGCACTGACCGTATCCGTAGTTAATCACACCTTTGTTAGACCTTTCAAACCATGTACGACAAGACTGTTTTAGGTCATACAATGACTTATGTTTTAGTTAAATTTCATTTGACCGGAAAACTCTGCAAACTATGACTTATTGGCTAGCTAAATTCAAATAGGTTATGAAAGAATTGATCTATTCCAGTAATTGCTATGTAATGAATATGAAGCATATACACCTTTGGACTATTGGGTTGGGTGACATTATATTAATAGAATTACGAACCTGGAAATATTAAATAACTGAAGATAAAGCATAACATGTGAAACCTAACATAAAACAAATGGCATGAACTCGAAAGCCCACATGTAATTATGAACTGAACTTTCCTATTGTTACGAAAATATTTAGTTTATTTCTCGCCAGAGATTATTCATTTTTCATTTAACCAATTCCTTTTTTAAATGTTATGACCTAAATTTAAGAAATTTGGTTTTCATTTAAGGTTAAAATTAGTTCTTATTTATTTATTCATTTATCATTTAACCAGTTCTTTAGTTATTTATTCATTTTTCATCATGTTATCAAGGTTAAAATTAGTTCTTTAATTTTCAATCTCTGAGAATTTTTATGTACCCTTTCTGCATAAGTTCAATATATAAAAGTTACTGGGGATTGGGAGTATAGTGTATATATTGGCATGTGAAGTAGTAGATTATGTAGCCGCATGAAATGATCGAGCATGAAATGTTAGGAGCAAAAGAGTATTGTTATCAGCTTAAAAAAAGTTTATCAATTTAAAAGTTCTATAATTTAGAAGTCATTAGTTATATACTATGTTTAAGTATTATGGACTATATCTGATAGTTTAATGCTTATGTTTAGGTTCTAAAGTTATTTATAATAATAGCAATTAACATTTGAATTTGAACTCTAGAAATACGAAATGGATAAGAGGTTGGATGGATTTCTCAAGGGTAAGCGCGAATATCGAAATGGGGTCAAAAAATTTCTAAATTTAGCTTTTCTGAATGCAAGCCAAGAGAATATGATTATTTGCCCTTGTAAGAATTGTGTTAACATTAACTGGCACATTCGTGAAGTTGTGTACGAGCATCTAGTTATTTTTGGATTTTTCGGGGTATAGAAAATGGATCTTTCATGGAGAGTTTGTATCAGATAGATATGCTTCCACGAGTTATTCGACTTATCTTGCTCCTTCTCACCATCCAACTTTTAGAGAAGATGACATGGAAGGGATGTTACGAGATGCATTTAATATGCACACTCATCAGCCGTATGTTACAGAAAATTATTGTCAGAATGATGTTAATGATTTCATTGAGATGGGAAGAATTAGAAGTGCTGAAGAGCCAAATGAAGAAGCGGCAAAGTTTTACAAGTTTCGGAAACTGTTGAAGAAGACATAGAAATTCAAAGTATTCTTTGAAACATTATTTACTACTTTGTTCATTTTCAAAACTAGCATTTAATAATTTTTTATATAGTTGAAAATGCTGGAACGCACAAGACTCGAGGACGTACAACTTTGAAGGAATTATACCAACTTCCTCATAGGCATCGTGTCAAAGTTTCAAGAAACGATGTCGGTCAACCTATTGGCCCAGAATCACGTCTTCTAGCAAGTTACTTAGGCATAGTTGGACGTAATGTGAATCTATTACCGATCAATTACGAGTCATGGCGCGAAATGCCTAATAGTAACAAAAATCAAGCGTTGGATTTTGTTAAGGTAATAATGTCATTATAATACATACTCTATAGAAATTCAATACTAATTTATACTTGCACACTTATGTTGTATAGGAGAAATTTTCTTTAGAGGTCTCTGACGATTATGTGAAGCAAACGTTAGGGAAGAGATTGAGGGATCACAAGAGCTCCTTAAAGAAGAAATACTTCAAGAATGATCTCAGCCTTGAAGAGAAGTTGCAAACAGTCCCACCAGGAATGCTCAGGTACCAATGGGAAGATGCAGTCAGATTTTGGAGTTCACAAAAAGGACAGGTATGATGTATTTTTCAAAAATAATTGTAACGAATGTAATCATCATTAAAACTGGTTGTTTGACATTGTAGACCCGAGAGCATATTGGTGTTGCTAGCAGGCAACAACAAAAGTTTACGCACACGGCTGGATCGAAGAGTTTTGCTTGTATAGCTCATGAGGAGGAATTATAGATTATTGAAATAGTTTTTTTTGTATTCCATGTACATACTAACTCATAGTAATTATATTATGGTACATTGTAGGAAAATACATCCGGTTCTAAAGTTGGTCGAATCCAACTCTTCGACATGACACATATGAAGAAGGATGGCACTCCTATGACTGCTGACGCTGCAGAAATTATGGTACGTTTTTTGGGTAGATGTTTAAATTTACCTGACTTTCTTATATTTGTACCATGACATTTTTTATTTTAATTAATTATTCACCTTATTAGGAAAAATTGAGGGAGAAAAAGGCGGAGTATCATGTTACTGCTTCGAGTCAACGTATTGTTAATGCTGATGACATTGAAAACCAAGCTATTAATGATGTTTTGGGTCCTGAAAGATATGGTCGGGTGCGCTGTCAAAGATCATTCGTTACTCCCACCAAATATTTTGGATCCAGTTCATCACAGTACATGTCATCACAGTCTCAATCTTCCCACCAAGAAGTTCTCATTTAAAAGAAAAGTTGGCTGAGATGGATCAACAAATGGCTAACTTGAAAGCGGAAAATGAAGCAAGGGAAGCAAAGAGAGCAGCAGCAGAAGCAACCAGAGCAGCAACGGAAGCAGAGAAAGAAGCTGCGGAAGCACAGAGAGAAGCAGCGGCAGCACAGAGAGAAGCAGCATATCAGCAGAGATGTGAAGAATTTGAAAAACGACTCAATGATATGATGCTGATGATTCAGAAAACGTAACCTCAAAATTCATCATCGCAGTCTCATTTATGTTATGAGCATTCTACTGAACCTTCTGTAACTGAACTTATATTACGTTAATGAAAACTTTTATTTATTATATTGGATTTGATGTTGTTTCTTATGAATATAGAGTTTGAAATTATTATTGTTTTGTTTGTTGGATAATGGAACAGGTTGAAAAAACAGTTTTGGGGTAATCAAGCATAATTTTTAGGATTGTTAAATTATGTGTTATTTAGCGGCGTTTGTAAAAAAACCGCCGCAATATTCCATACATTTAGTGGCGTTTTTATCCTAGAAACGCCGCTATATACAGACATGTACCGGTGTTTTTAGCAGAAATGCCGCAAAACATCAACACCTACTGCGGAGTTTTAACAAAAAAACACCGCTAAACATCATAACATATTGCGGCGTTTGTCTGAGAAACGCTGCTAAATATTAACACCTATTGCGACGTTTTTATGACAAACGCCGCTAAATATCAACACCTTTTGCGGCGTTTTTATAAAAAAAGCCACTAAATATCAACACCTATTGCGGCGTTTGTTGAAAAACGCTGCTAAATATCAACACCTATTGCGACATTTTTCTCATCTCCTAATCTCTTCCTTTCAAATAAAAGAACACAGTGATAAATGTTAATAGTATATTAAGACTTAGGAGAGATATGAATATTCTCTTTCTTGTTTATTTTCTTACT